CGGACACACCGAGCCTTCCCCCGGCCCCGGGGGGGGGAGCAGCCCTGCCCCTGCCCTCCTCTGCTTTCGCTTATTAACGCCTCAATTAATAGGAGGAGGAAGAAAAGCAGCCGCAGCCAGGCGCTGACCAGGAAACCGGAGTGAAAATACCGAGCCAGCGGAGAAGACGGTGCCTGTGCAGCTCAATTAATAACTAATTAACAGACAGCTGTGCTGTCTAAACAGCTCCGAGACCCGTGTGTGCCTCTCCTGCAGCAGGCCTGAATGAAACGCTCGCCGTAGGGAGTGGATAAAGTCATAAATGGTGGTCGTTCGGTTTGCACGCTGGGATTTCCAGGATACTCCTCAAAACCCTTATCTATTTTTTTTAGCTCCATTACAATTCTTTACTCGCAGCGCCTTCGTACTCCTGCTGAGCCCTGGCCGCTCGTTTCCCTCGCTTCTCGGGGCCTTTGCTAACGAGCGGGCTCCATGTTCTTCGTCTCCCAGGTCTTGTATTACAACCGCCCCGCGTTACGCTCCTGACCCCGTTCGCCTTTCCCGGCGCCCTCGGGGCTTTGCCTTTCGGTAAAAAAATAGGGGTTTTTCCACTTAAATACGGCATTGGAGAACTTTTCTCGGTTTTTCTCAAACTGAGATTTGTTCTTTCTCTGTAGGATTTGCTTTGCGTTTAGAGGAAAAATAGTATCCTCCCCCCAAAACGACCAGCGTCTGCGGGTTTTTGAGCAGTGTCCCTCCCTGCCTGGGCACAGGAACGTTTAGGGATTTAGAGATTTAGCCTTTTGAGAGGAGCGCTCGCGCTCCGAGCTCGGCTACGCGTGTGATTTCTTGGAGAAAGCAGGGTCAAAGATCTCTTTTGGAGCTGGGAAGGGAGAATCTCCCTACAAAAGAATATTATGATTCTGTCTTGGCCTCTCATTTACTTCCCCTTACCTAGTTAAGAAGATAAAATATTTTCATGGTTTGGGATGCATTGCATAAACTAGAATTACAGCTGAAACGCTGAACCACGTTAAATTGAGTTAAAAATCTGGATTGCGTTCTGATTAGGCTGTCGTTTAACGAGGCTGCAGACATTCCTTGAAATTGTTGTGGTTGGTTCCGTTATTTTACGTAGGATTAGGATGCTGCTCGCTGCGATCTTCAAAGTAGAAAAGCAGATCTGGCAACGATGCAAAAACACAACCGGGCTGGGGGGAAGTGTGTTTCCTTTTCGCTCAAACTTTGTAGTCGGTCGGCGTGAGCGGTTCGTGCTAGGTTAAGAAAGGAAAAAAACGACTGGGTATATCTGATTTCCTCTGAAGCGGAGCTTCGAACTGGCGAGGTTATTTTCCGCGGATTCCTAAACCCGCTTTGGCCCGAGCCTTCGTCAGCTCTGAGCTTGCGGTGGAATCAAAGACCTGCAGCTCGTTGCTGTCGAGTCATCCGTCGCAGTCAGTCTGTTGGTGGGGCAATCTGCTTTTCCTGGATTACAAAATCGGTTCTGAAGCAATTTCAGGAGTTGTCTGTAGTGGGAGCTTGCTCTGGAATAAACCGGTGTATTCATCTTGAGTGGGTAATGTAAAACAAATAGGATAGAGGGGTTTATTTCTGGGAGGAACGCCACCGGAAAACTGATTTGTGTAGCTAAACTCGCTGCACGGACGCGTCCCGTGGTTTTGAGAAGGGTTGAACGTGGGGAACAGAACAACTGCGCTACTCTGGAGCGTCTGTTGATGAAGTAACGGCTACGTGACCTTGCTCTGGCTTGCTTGGCTCTGGGAAGAGGGAAAAAATCCCTGTATCTTACAGAAACAGGGATGCCAGAAAGCTGCTCTTGAGGAACGCTTTGGAAGCGTGATTTAGAACCGAAAATACACACTTTGCCACAAAACAGCCGACCGATGTTTAATAAACTCTGTTCATCCAGTGCTTATCCAGGCTGAGGACTGATCCAGACTAACTGTAGGGAGTGAAATATATATTTTTATGGCTTTTGGTCTCTCGGTCAGGACTGAAGTACAGTTATTTTCTGTTTGCTCAAAGCCTCTTCCTTTCTTTCTGCCTTCAGCTGTACTGCAAGCCCGCTGCTACTCTCACGGGTCACAAGAATCAGATGAAGAATTTGATGCTCGCTGGGTGACGTATTTCAACAAGCCAGATATTGACGCCTGGGAGCTCAGGAAAGGTACGTTGAACGCAAAGGGAAGGGTAACGTGGAGTAAATATAACTGCTTTGTAAGAGTTTTGTGACCGGAAATGACAACTTGGTTTTACTTTGCTGTCAGAGAGCAAAAATAGTGAAAACTGGGAGTTTGGTGTAGGAGAGCGATCCGGTAAATACCCAGTGGGGGTATTTATTTTCTTTATCTCTTCTGAGTCGTCTGGCTGCGCCGTGCGTGCCTGCGGTTGGCGTGCTGCTCTTCCTCAGCCCTGGCGCCTCACCAACCAAGCAAGCGGGTCGGAAGGAACCACGGCGTGCAGAATGAGGGAGAATGGGGGTACGAGGCAAGGCAGGAGTCCGGGCTTTGTCAGTTTTAGTGCCTCGGAATATGCAATTTAACACCTGGATGAGAGGGAAAGCGGATTTGAGCTCAGCTGTTGCTTAGTGAGTTAACCACGCGCGTTTTACTTTGGACTTTGACTTAATGGCTTGGCCGTAACTCACTGTCTTCAGTTGTTGTTTGCCGTGGAGTTGCCAGCTCCTGTTAAAATACCCCAATTAGAGTGTGTAACCGTGTTTCCGTAACAGCCAGAAGGATTGTTTCAGCATCACCTGGATGGCTCCCTTGGAAAGGAAAGGACTAGACAGCAGCTCGAGTTCTAGTTTCATTAAACCTGCAGGAACGAAGTCATTTGGATTTCTTAACGATTCCGTAACTGACGTGCTGCAGCACAGACACTGACTCCTTTTGGGAGCGTGGATGAAACCGGATGAAATGTTAAAATCTGCAACAGTGAGAGGGAGAAGAGCAAAAGAAAACCCTTGGCCGGGTGTGTCCGTCCCTAAAATAGCAGCGACGATTGTACTCAGCTTCTAATGGCGACTGGTGGTGTGGCAATACTTAATTCTTGCAGGAGGTGGAGCAAAATAACGCCAACAGGTTCCTTTTGATAACGTGATGAGCTGATGCCCGGTTCCTCTTGGTGTTTCCTTATATTCGCAGGCATAAACACGCTTGTGGGTTATGACCTTGTTCCGGAACCAAAAATCATCGATGCGGCTCTGAGGGCGTGCAGACGGTTAAATGATTTTGCCAGTGCCGTCCGCATCTTAGAAGTTGTAAAGGTGAGTGGAATGGCAGCGTAACTGCCGTGTTCGCGTCGCTGAGAGACCAAAGAGTTTTCTTCTTGCCTTGCTGGTAGTGGTGCAAAGGCGAACAGCTATTTCCTGCTGCCAGAATCAATAGCTTCGTTTATGAGCACGTGCTCGGTGGCTTGAAATAATTATTTTGAGGTAAGAGTATTCAACAGCACGGCTTCACGAGTGTAACGTTCCTAACAGTCATATTTTCCTTTCCTGATGCTGACTCTGGTGGGAAAATCTTTAAGGATTTTTCTTCCTTTAATTAATTACTAGAAATATCTCAAGCAAAGGCAGCTTACTGGCTTCTGAGCTGGCTGGGAGTAGTAACTCAGCTGCGTAGGCTTGAAAAAACAACATAAACCAGCACCTTGAAACCTGAGTCCAGCCTTCACCTGACGGGGAGTTAAACTAGGAGGCAGGAGTTCTTCATTTCAGTCGCAGAAGCCAGCAGCCGTGCTCTTCCAGCTGGTTTTTGCCACAGCTGAGGAGGACTGGCGTGGAGGTCTTTTGCTGCTAGCTGGTGAAAAACGCCTGCTTCAAACTCTACTCCGCGATCAGCTGCTTCTCGGGTCGCTGTTTCTGCGTTCTTCTGTAGAACTGAAACTCTTCCACTGGTTTTAGGGATGTAAGACCAAGGGAAGAATCTTTATGTGTTTTTCTTATTTCTCTTTTTTTTTTTTTTTCTGGTTCCCCCCCGTGCAGGGGACAAGTCAGTTCATCAGCACTTGCGTACA